AAGGCATCCATGCTCTGTACGTTAATTTTCTTTTCACCGAAATTCGTCAACAAAGATGTAAACACGGCACTGGCGCATGCTGTCAGACCCAGAGTTGCATAATGCAACGTATTAATTCTGTAAAAGTTCTGTAAGCGTATTTATTTTCTTGTTTAAAAAAAATAAGATCCTAGCATATTATTATATACATAAAAATATTTAAAGAAGTACAGAATCTATTATAATTATTTAATTTAAATATAATTTAAACCATAAAACATTTTTAATAAAAAAAATGTTAAGATAAAATTAGGATTATATAAAAAAAAATTTTTTATTTATTATTTTATAACTGATTAAAAATGTTTAATATGTAATAATAATTCTTTGCTTGTTACTTACTGTATGCCTTTATCGAATTTTTGCTGAATTTTCACTTCATTTGGTCGTAACGGTCTGCAAGGTTCTTCTATTAAAATATTGGTCAATTTGGCAATACTTTTGCGATTTACCAATAAACTGAGCATTTTGTAACAAGTAATAAACATAGGGAGCAGTATGCAAAAATTATCGGATAGATCGTCGGGGTTGTCCGCGATCAGAATAATATCCATAATTTGCGACAGCACGAAAGTATTTGTTAGCAAAATCAATAAGATTGTATACAATCGATACGCTACACGTTTATATATCGATGTCCAGGATTTCGGCCGCCAACAACCGCATATTGTTAGCACTTTAAAAGTAAAATCTAACACATGTATTTCAAACTCTCCCTCTTCAACATTACTCATTATATAAAAAGTGAAGAATAATCGATTACCGCGCTTCTTTCCTCAACAATTTAAATTAGCTTTTAGCAAAGATACTAGTTGAATAATAATTTGATTAAAAAACACTTTAAATAAATAAAAATTTGTTATGTGGATATAAAAAGTGCAACACGAGACATAATCCGCAGAGCGACTGAGAGACAAGAATTACAATTTTACCTTTTGTTTTTACCTGATGGTACGTTTCGTAACTTTACCCTTGTAGTAATTTCATTATTAATTTTATAATGTCCCCTGCAGTATAATATACTCATAAATCAAAAATGCGGTGGACAGATGCAAAGTTCGTATAACGATTTCCGAATGCATGTCCCCTGTAGGCGGTGCGTGGTAGAAATAAAAGAGGGAAACATTTAAGTATTGAATAGTTACTTATAATCTAGCCCTATATAATATTCATACAAGTAAATTCTATTTCTGCAAGAAACTGTTTGACTTACCGCCACCGAGGGAAAAAAAATGCCATATTATGTTAAATCTCTTTTTCAAATATCAATTTCTGTCGTTACAATTGCTAATAAGACTTTTAAGTGTATAGATACCGCAAATCTTTACTAATATAATGTTGAAGTAAGTTACATGCAAGCACAATATAATAAAATATTTCTGCGGAATATTAACTTATAATATATTATTTGTTTATTACTATAAAATATATAAGTATAGAGAATATATTAAAGTATATAATGTACATAATAAAAAATGTGTTAAAATATATATAAATAATTTTATTTTATTGATCTAATAAAACTACACACGATTCAAGAATATTAATATATTAACTGTAATATTATATTGTTTCTATTTGTGTTATTTTTAAGAGCTTAATGTTATTTTAATACATACACAAATAACATATAGAGATAAATTTTTTAATAGTCACCATTTATATTGTATAATTTTTACACTTTCTGCAATATGTTGTAAGCTGAATACGATGTTTTCAGCAACTACAATAAACGCACAAATTTAGAGAATAAATTTTAAAACATTTTAAAATAAGTTAATAACCAATTTTTATCAAGTTTTAATAAATGTAATATGCAATATGATTTGATGTAACTGTAAATTTGTTATTTAAGATTTATTTTATGTAAATAAATTTATAAAAATTATTATTAAAATCTGATCTTGTCAGACTTGGCTAATCGTACAATAATAATAAACATTTTATACTAACACCTACGAATGAATCGAGATTCATAGAGATAATGTAAGCGCTAGTGAATTCAATGGGCACTGCGCTACGTCTCATAATCAATAACAAAGTTTCTTTTACATTCTTATCTAAGTTGTACCATTCCATTTCAAAAATATTATTGGCAAGTTGTCGACTCTATATTTGTTACAAAATAATATTAAAATATGCAAAACATAGAATATAAATTTACATCGATTAATTATTAAATCAATTATATAAAGCAACAAATTTATTCATTTATAAATCATTATAATTATTTTATTTATTACGTCATTGCTTCAATAATTGCATACCTTTACTTTTACCTCATTTCCGTACCAACAATAGAAAAAGATTTGTGTCAACATGCTGCACATGTACAATGCTAACTGGATGTATTTTGCGTTCGATGTGGTTGCTCTGGTTAATTGATATAGATTGAAGCACACTACTAGTGTGCTTACTGCAAATTGAATAGCAATAGTAAATCTGAATTTTTCATTAACTTTAAAGGCAAAGCTGCAATTAATCACAATTAATTATTTCAGCAACTACAGAGATGAAATAGCAGCGCATTAATATCGCCATTTTTTATCAATGCTACATAGAACAAATACAAACTCGAAAATACGATTGTGTTGTAGAATGCAATCATCAAGAATACCAGGCTTGCTAGCTATGCTTCTCAAGCGAGATTCTAAGATTTGAATCTGGCAGCAAATGTGCACTAATAATCCACAGATTAAGCCGTCGCAAGCAACGTGAAGAACAGATCCGACTATCAAACTTATCAATTGATGAGCGTACGTAATGTAAAATAGGATTGGCGACGAATAATCGTACGGTAACCACGCTCTGAATGTCAATGTCCGCCGCCTAAAGTCTGTCAGCAACGACGTTAACGTGATGCATACGCAAGTCGTTTCAACTAGGATTGCATAATGTATCGTGTTTGACCTGTAAAGTAGCTGTAGACATTGTTGCGGTTCATTTGTCATTCAGTGTTTTGCTCAGAATTAATTTTGCTAATTTTTAATGTTTAATTTTATTAATAATTTAATATAAATATCTCAACATATTATATATAAATATGAAGAGTGTTAATCAAAAATATTTAAAAATTGATTTTTTACCATAAAATTATATATATCGCATATTTTTTATAATTACAAAATTAATTTTAATATAATAATTATAGTAAAAATTTGTGATTTTCATGCTACTTACTGCACACCCTTGTCAAATCTGTCATGAATTTCTATTTCAGCCGGTTCTAATGGTTTACACGGCTTTTCCGTAAGAATGCTGGTCAACGTTGCAATATTCTTGCGATTTGCTAACATGCTGAGCATTTTACAACAAGAGACGATCATCGCAAGCAACATGTAAAAATTATCAGTGAAGTCATCTGGATTATCCACGGTAAGAATAATATCCAATAATTGTGACAGAGTGAATGTATTTATTAATACAAGTACGAAGACTGTGTGCATATGATAAATTATGCGCTTGCATGATGACGTCCAAGAATCCGGCCGCCAACAACCGCAAATAGTAAGAAACTTAAAAGTGGAATCTAACACGCGCATTTTGAATATATCTCTCAATATTTTAATTAAATATACTATTGAATAAAAATTATGTTACAAATGAATTTAAAAACATTTTCTTACTACGGTTAAGTAAAAATTTTCATGTGTTAGTTAAAAAAGTTGTGCAATTAATTAATTTTCTTCAAAATTTATATCAAGATACACACAAAAATTATCAATTGGTAATTTTGTTGAGTAAAATTCGAAGCAATATTAGGATAAAACTGTTTTTTCCACAAATAATAATCTAATATACATTAAACTTTATAGAGATAAAATCAGATGGAATGTCTATAACTGAGCGATTTACTAACGTAAACCCTTCGTCTAACTTTTCTTTTTGTATACGATAATTTTTAGTATTCAAATTGCTTTTATGTATGGGGTGTGTGTCTCTCGTAATGTAATATTTCTACGAAGAAACCGTACAACCGTTTCGAAACAAATTATATGTTAGTAAACGCTATTGAAGAAAAGAAAATGACTACCTTCAAATGTCGCATGATCGACCTGTGTACACTTATATGCAGCATAAAATATTAATGTTGGTACTCTCTCGTGCTTTTTTTCTAGCGGAAACTATTTAATTATAAAAGTGTGAATTTATCGTATCAAGTCGCAGATGACAGATTCTTTTTCATATTGATTTGTTACAATTTTTAGCCGAACATTCATATATACGCGTACAGCAAATACGCTGATACCAAATGATATATTATCGTATTTATATTACAACGTGCAATGTAAGTAAAAACAGTATGATAATGATGCAAATAATGTCAAATATCTTTTTTTTCTTTATGTATTATATATGTAGAGTATACAAGAGTTAATTATTAATATTAGATAAAATATTATATAAACTGAGTTTATACACACACATATTTATGACATTAATTTACATTCTCAAAATATGTTACTAAATATTTTACTATTTTATGTCTCACATTAAGATTATTATTCTTGCGTTTGCTTAAGTATATTATAAGCCGAATATGATGTCTTCAACAACTGTAATTAAAGAAATTAAAAATTACATTCAAAATGAATTGGATCTGTGTATATACAATTCTTAATTACACTATATTAAAATGCTCAAAACAAAAATAATTTTCTTTAATTTTAAACTGTACATTAATACATAGATACCAGAGAGTGCTTTTTATTAAATATGTTAAATATTTCAATTACTTTTGAAATATAAACAAAACTTAATATTTTTTAAATTAATTAATTATTTTTATTAAGAAAATATTATTGCATCAAATTTTATACTTTCTATTATTAATTATAGAATAATGAATTTTGATACTAACACCGACGAACGAATCGAGATTCATAGATATTACAGTGGCGCTGGTAAATTCAATTGGTACTGTACCGCGTCTCATGATCGTTAATAAAGTTTTTTTAGCATCATTGTCCAATTCGAACCACTCCATTTCAAATATGTTAGTGACCAGTTGCCGACTCTATATTTATAAATTTAAGGCCTGTTATTTATTTTATATATATAATATCACATGTTCAAGTAACAGAGAGATGTCTTATAAAATGCACACACCCTCAATTTAACTTCGTTTCCATACCAGCAATAAAAAAAGATTTGTGAAAGCATAGAGCACATATATAATATTAATTGTATGTATTTTGCTCTTAAGGCTGTCGATTTGGTAAACTGATATAAATTAAAGCACATTACCAAAGTGCTTACCACAAATTGAATAAATATGGTGAATTTAAATTTATCATTCACCATTTGAGCAAACCTGAAATTAACGCAATGTAATATTGCAAATTTCAAATATTTAAAAAATATACGTACAAATGTAGAAATCAAACAATTTTAAATACAGATAAAAAATATGATAAAAGTATAAATAATAAATCAATTATAAGTTTAAATTTATCTAATATTTGTTCGACAAAAGAAATGTCTGATAGAAATAACATTATATTTTTGAAAATATGAATTTTTTTTCAGTAATAGAAAAAATTTATCGTGAAAATATATGTTAATACATCAAAGCATTTTTATTTTTAATGTTAACTATATAAACAAACTTGAATATACGATTATGCTGAAAAGCACACTCGCGAAGAATTTCTGGATTATACACGCTTTTTCTTAAACGGCATTCCAGTATTTCTATTTGACAGCAAATGTGCACCAGTAATCCACATATGAGACTGTCACAAGCCACGTGGTGAACAGATCCAACTGTAAAACTTATCAATTGATGAGCGTATACAAAGAGGAAACGTGATGACGAGGAATAGTCGAATGGCAGCCATGCCCTGAACGTCAATTTTCCTTTTTTGAATTCCGTCAGTAATGACGTCATGGTAACACATAAACACGTTGATTCAACCAGAATGACATAGTGCAGAGTGTTTGACCTATAAAACGGCTGTGGACGTTTTTGCGTTTCATTTTTCATTCAATATATTCTTGGTAAAGTATCGCGCACAATTTTATTTTTTAATATAAATGAAAAACGTGTTTAATATAATTTTTCTTCTTGCATTCAAGAGATAATTTTGATTTATATTAGAATTCTTTGTTGTTTTATGAATATTGTATTATATTTAAAACAACAGTGATTGGAGACTATTTTGCAGTACTTACTGTATGAGTCTTTCGTATTTTTGTCGAATCGCCACTTCGTCAGGCTCACTCGGTTGAAAAGGTTTTTTGGTAAGAATATCAATTAACGTCTCAATATTGCTGCGATTTATCAATAGAGCGAACATCTTACAGCAAGAAACGATCATTGCGAGTAACATGTAAAAATTATCGGTGAAGTCATCGGAATTGTCCACAGTCAGAATTATATCCAGTAATTGCGATAGCATAAATGTGTGTATTAGTAGTAGTATAAAAACTGTATATACGTGATAAACAAATCGTTTATACGGTGTTGTCCAAGAATCTGGTCTCCCGCAACCGCAGATTGTCAATATTTTAAACGTAAATTCCAATATATGCATATTTAGTTTATTATTTTTGATGTTATCTATTAATATTTTTTTTTTTATAAAAAAAATGATGTGGAAGATTTTTTTTAACCTTTAAGACTATTTGTTTAGTTTAATAAATTAGAAACAAATTTCCATTATTTCAGCATCATTATCCACCAAATAAATAAATTATATAAAATGATATACATAAGTTGATAGTTAAATTGCCCGTTAAATTTTCTCAATTCTAATTTAGATAAAATTTCCTTGCGAAAAAAATTTCCTTGTGAAGTAGTTTAGGCTGCAATGAAATTTTACGGGAAACTGAAACTAATCGAATATCTATAGTTTCCGTCAATGCTACATACATTTCGCTCAACTTCCCCTTTTTTATGCGACGATTTTTATTATTCATAATTCCTGGTATGTACGTTTGTCGGATAGCAATATGTTCATGCAGTACGCGCCTAAACATAGACTTATGATATTGTAACATAATAATAAGTTCACAATAATTATACACTGTGACATTATACGTTAAAAAGCAAAACCAGAAGAATGTAGAATATAATCCCGAATGTGTATTGAATTATCGAACTGTATATATACCGACTTCATAAAATACTAATGTCTATAACTTGATACTTCAACCAAAAGATATTTAATTCAGGAAGACGTGAATTTGTCATATTGAGCTATGGACATAACAAATTTTTTCATCTTACTCTGATCGTTACTACTACAATTTCTGATCATTAATCTAACGCTCAAATAATAGAGAATATAATTGAATTAGTGTGTAAAGTAAGTAAAAATAATAGTGTAATATTAACTGATTCTGAAATTCTCTATACAGGGTGTTTTATAATGTCCGTGCCAACGCTCGTGTACGGATAGAGTGCGGTAAACTGAATAGAAAAGTCCTTTACCGTTTGCTAATTT